GTACAACCACTCTGGAAAAAAATTTGGAGGCTACTTAAAAAGCTAAACATTGATCTACCATTTGATCCAGCAATACCACTCTTGGGGATATACCCAAAAGACTGTGACCAGGTTACTACAGAGGCACCTGCACACCCATGTTTATTGCGGCACTATTCACAATAGCCAAGTAATGGAAACAGCCAAGATGCCCCACCACTGACGAATGGATTAAGAAAATGTGGTATCTATACACAATGGAATTTTATGCAGCCATGAAGAAGAACGAAATGTTATCATTCGCTGGTAAATGGATGGAATTGGAGAACATCATTCTGAGTGAGGTTAGCCTGGCCCAAAAGACCAAAAATCGTATGTTCTCCCTCATATGTGGACATTAGATCAAGGGCAAACACAACAAGGGGATTGGACTTTGAGCACATGATAAAAGCGAGAGCACACAAGGGAGGGGTGAGGATAGGTAAGACACCTAAAAAATTAGCTAGCATTTGTTGCCCTTAACGCAGAGAAACTAAAGCAGATACCTTAAAAGCAACTGAGGCCAATAGGAAAAGGGGACCAGGAACTAGAGAAAAGGTTAGATCAAAAAGAATTAACCTAGAAGGTAACACCCACGCACAGGAAATCAATGTGAGTCAATGCCCTGTATAGCTATCCTTATCTCAACCAGCAAAAACCCTTGTTCCTTCCTATTATTGCTTATATTCTCTCTACAACAAAATTAGAATAAGGGCAAAATAGTTTCTGGGTATTGGGGGTGGGGGGAGAGGAGGGGGTGGAGTGGGTGGTAAGGGAGGGGGTGGGGGCAGGGGGGAGAAATGACCCAGGCCTTGTATGCACATATGAATAATAAAAAAAAAAAAAAAGTGCTTTCTAAATTAAAAAAAAAAGATTTATTTGCCATGTGATCCAAAACAAAGCCCAGAGGTTTATCAAGAAAGTGATCTATGGCCTGAAGAAATACTGGCATAAACAGACAACAATTCTCTTGTGCTCCCAGGACAGGTGGCAAGAGACAAGCTCCGAGGCCTCAGTGCAGAACAGCTCCTCCTGCCAAGGAAAACAAGCAAGGTACGGCTCCCTTCTATTTATGAAGACATTTTAAAGTCTGCAGTTCACATTTATAGACACTTCTGAGAACCTTTTACGTTTGAAGCTTATTTAAAATGGTGATAGACACAGAAAGTGAAAAGCACACACCATGTGCCCTAAGGGGATGCTATGGTTTGATGTGATAATAGTATTTGGAGATGGGGCCTTTGGGAGATAATTAGGGTTAGATGAATTCATAAAGGTGGGGCGCCACAGGGGCATGACTGGCTTTATAAGAGGAAGAGAGACAGAGCAGTGCACTTGCTCTGCCTTGCTATGATGTCTTCTGCCATGTTATGATGCAGCAAGAAGACCCTCACCAGATGTTGAGCAGATGTCCACACCATGCTCTTGGACTTCCCAGCCTCCAACTGTAAGTTAAATAAACCTTTATTCTTTATATGGTGTTTAGGTACAGCAATAGAAAATAGACAAAGACAGAGTATCATGCCTTTTTTCAAAGAGGGTTTTGCTGTAGGTTAAGACATGCTTGAAAACACATCACTTGTGAAAACTCCTGTGTCTACTATGCCCAGCTATGAGTTCAGTGCAAAAGGAAAAAAATGTATAAACATATGGTCTTTGGCCTCAAAGCAGAGATTTTAAGCTCTCATGAGTGTTTAGGATTGTCTGAGGAGCTGGTTAAATGCAGATTTCTGTTGAGTGGGTCTGGGTGACCTGGGGAGGAGCCCTGGAGATGCTGTGTGCTCCCTACCTCATGCCTATTAGTTAGCCCTCCTTCTGTCACATGGATTCTGCATTTACAGATTACCAAGGATCAAAAATGTTTTGAAAAAACTGCACCTATGCTGAATATGTACAGCCATTTTTCTTGTCATTATTCCCTAAACAATACAGTGTGCCAACTGTTTGCATAGTATCTACATCGCATTCGATATTGTAAGTAATCTAGAGATGACTTAAAGTACACAAGAGAACGTGCATAGATCACACACAAATATGGTGCCATTTTATATAAAGGACTTGAGCATCTGTGAATTTTCATTTTCTGGGATGGGTCCTGGAACCAGTTCCATGTGGATACCGAGGGACTCAGATGAGTTGTGCTACAGACTGGTGACTGCCACAGGTTCTCACCTAGTTTCTGGCAAGGGTCCTGGAAAATGAGATGCTGAAGGGAAGGGTGTGCTCCCAGGACATCAAGAGACAATCCTGGGACACCGGAGTAACTGGTGGTGAAACATTTCAGGTGATTTGCAGCAAGACTGGACAAAATAATCTGTCAGCCAGTGCCTGTGACCTTTCAGTGGAGGTCATTTTCTTACAGAGGACTTCATTTCCTTGAGGTCTTAAATCATCTATGTACAATGAATCCCACACTTTGAGATCTTTTTTGAGCAATTCATAAACATAGTGGGTTTATGGAAATTTGCTCTGGATAAAAAACTGAGGATAGAGTCTGTGACTATATTAACAGCTAACAGTTTAAATAGGCTCGCAGCACCTTGGGGAAAAACAAATAGAAACCCAGATTTGAGATTCTGCCTGTGGACACCATAGACCACATTGTCTTCCTCCTGTACGGAGGGCAGAGTTGCCTCTTATTCCTGAGAGGGGGAAATGTGGGTTTTTAGTACCAAGAAGAACTGGGAAGGAATACTCACCAGGATTGAGATATACTCTCTGGCAGCTTGTTATCTGGATTTCACAAATGAAAAGATCAAAAAGAACCAGCATGGAGTTTGAATGATCACATGCCCAACTTGGAATAGGATTTCTGGTCTTGATCATCAGGACTGTCTGCCCATGGATGTGCCCAAGAACAAAGATGCTCTCTTAACAGGGTTTCAGGCATAGGTTGTATATCCCTTGTCCAAATGCTTGGGATTGAGTCTTTCAAATTTTGGAATATTTCCACTTTACTGGTTGAACATCCTTAATCCAAAAATCTAAAATGTGAAACTTCTTGAGTGCACAAGAATTTATAGATTTCAGAGCATTTTGGATTTTGGATGCTTGACCTGTACTAGTCATTGTTTATAACCTATAAAGACTCAGAATTAAAACACTGTTAACCCTAATGCTTGGGATTTCTTTCTTTTTAATGAAGCTAACAAAGCAAGTAACTGTAGTACTGTGGTTTTACTTCAAACTGCAATGCTCTCAGGGCACATTTATTTCTCTGCTAGGGACTTTAAAGGAGAGCCTACTTTCCAAAGAACAACAGCCTGTGAATTCTGGGAACGGTAGGGTAGATACTTGTTGGGTCTTAATTCATGATCACTACTTAAATTTTGAATATTTGGTATACATTAGATGACAGGAAACAAGGGACAAGTCCAAAAATATGCCATCTTATTTTTTTTTGCCAAATTAGTGGGTAATTAATTAATGGTAGCCCATCTCAAATGGGTTAACAAGTTGATTAAACTTCTGTGTGAAGAGTTTCAGCTTCCCAAGTGGATAATTACTTACTCTTTTGTTTTCTAGTTTCAAAATAAAATTATGTATTATATTTTGTGTTGAGGTCAAGATAGTAGGGCCCATTCTTACCCTGTTTTCTCATTTACCCAGTGCCATAACTTCAAGAGGAAAGCAAACCAAGTCAGTTAGGAATTAAGCAATCATATTTTAATCAATAAATATGAACATTGTTAACCAGTGATTGGGAAGAGAAAAATAGAAATGTATAAAGAACTCAAAAGATAATACCACCTTGAGCGTGAAGGGCCCAACAATCTTTGCTAGAAGCTTCTTTACTTATAGAATTAGAGGTAACAAAAAAATTTACTCAGAATAAAGCTTGGGATAATCTAAAGATCCAAGTATATTTTAAAGCTAAGACAGATTATTTTGCACATATGTAGATTGTCGATTGTCTGACAATTTAGGGATAAATGACTGAATGGACAACTGTTAAGACATCAGGGAATATGATTGTTTTATTCATATTATGGGCTAGGCTTACCTTCATTTCTCGCTCCTCCCCTTCCTCTGCTCTGTATCACAGGAAATTACAATTGCCAGAGGCCTCGCCCACTGGTTTCCAGGTGTGGTTAGTATGGTAAAGGTGCTGGTGAAAGGCTATTTCTTGGTGTCTAGCTCATCTCAGGCAGTGGCTTTGTCCTGGCCATGGCTCCATTTTCTACAGTCCCTTGGTGATCCTAGCTCCCAGCAGGCAGCCCCCACCATGCTTCCAGTTTCTGTGGCTGATCCCAGTTTCCAACTGGAAACTGTACCTCCTCCCACTATTCTCACAGTCCCAAGTATGGTAACAGCTTTCTGCTATTTGGTGCCTTTTATCATCTGTGTGAGTAAATTTCCTGTATTAAATTCTCTCTATTGAGGGCTGGGTGTGTGGCTGAAGTGGTAGAGCACCTGCCTAGCAAGCACAAGGCCCTGAGTTCAAACCCTAGTACTGTAAAAATTTTTTTAAATATTAAAAATCCCCTCTCTTGGAATACTTAGAATGGCCTCTGTTTTCTGGACTGGAACCTGACTGATAGATATTAAATCATTAATTTTTTTCTCTCTCAGTCACCTGGGAACGTTTTCATTGCCATAAGCCAATGAAACCACATAATGGTCCCCTTTCTGCATTACTGGTCAATGAATATCCCTTTAGCTGATTTTCCTGTCAAGAACTGTGGCCTCTTTGCTGAGTACAACTGTCCATGAATGTCACCCTTTTAAAGTGGATATGGCCACTTCTCCAGAAGTCATTTCTGTAGCATGTACTAGGTGTGGTGACAAGGTAAAAGAAATACAGACAGAAAATTAATCTTAGGAGGAAATCACAAAGTTATCAAATGAACACGGTTAAAAAAAAAAAAATCAAAACCCAGAGAACATCAGACATCATTAAGAAAGTCTCTTCCCTGTTGAATCAATAACTTTTCCTGAAATTAAAATCTCATAACATTTCTGTATATTTCAAGAGCATCAAAATAATAAAAATAATAACTCGATTCATTAACAAGTTATCTGTAGCTTCTCAGGTAGAAGCAATGGTCACTGGCGGAAATAGAGTTCTTTGGTGAGCATGGAAACCACACACGGGATCTGCTTCTTCTCATGGAAGAGGGGGTTGTCAGACTGGGACTCAAAGTGCCTGGCCACCCTGTGGTTCACCCTGGTAAGGATCTGCATGATCTCCAGTTTTTTGCCATATTCATCCAGGACGGAGCAGAGGGCCTGCACAAACCAGGAGCCACTTCCTGGGTTCCTCCATGAATAATAGCCTTTGACAAGAGAGAAATAAGACCACATCAGTTACCTGGTAGCTGCTCCACCCACCAATGAGAATGAGACTCAGCATTTGGGGCCTTCATACCTGCTTTTTGGAAATCATTTCTCTCTACTCTGCACATGAATCACTAATGAGAATTATGCTGGTGTGCTGAGAACAAACATTTCAGATGTGGGGGACTGCACACAGAGGCTAAAAAATGCTTTGGGTGTTCCACTGTGGAAATCTAGTAACAGACCACATCACTAAAGGCCAGGGTTAGTGCATATTGCCAAGAACACTCCTGCATCTGTTTGGATGGAGGAGTCCATGTGCTACCTCAGAAAGGGAGGCAGTCTGCATTTGCAGAAGCCGGAGGACCACTGTGCAACTCTGAAACTCCTCTCCATCCTTTTGGAGTGAGTGCTACATTGCTACTTTCTAATCCAAGTCTAGGAGAGATTTTCAAGGAAATGTGGAGGCAGGAGGTACTGAATACCTGAGGGGCAGAGACAGGCCAGCTGGTGGCTCTGGAAGGGTCAGCACTGTCAGGGCAAGGGATATGTTTCTCATGAATCACACATGGGCTGTGGGAGAGAAAGCTGGCTCTTGGGTTGTCCTGGGTCCTGGACCAAAGGTCTTGAAGGGGTGAGGAGACCTCAGCAGATAGAAGACGTACAGGACCTTGGAGCATCCCAGGAGTTGGGGAAGAAATCATAATGCCTAACTAGGAATAAGATGAAAACACGAGGACCAACAAGGAACAGGGCCCAGGGGACTGAGGAACTCACAAAAGCCACTGGCTTTAATCATCTGACTGGTTCAGAGCACAACAGTTGGGAGGACTACTCGACTCCATCCTCCCTCCCCATTTGAAAGGAAAGCAAGAGACAAAACCAAATTGCTTTTGGTGTCTGTGATGGTTTGTGCTCCTTCCCCTCACTGCCCATTGCTCACACCAGTTTCATGAGAACTGGATCATCACTAGGATCATTTGTAACTCGGTTGTGGAATAAATGTGCGACCAGCAGTTAAGTACAGAGTAAACTCTGTAATGTATCTGGACAGCTTCAGCCAGATGCTGGAGCTGGAGCTTGATAACATTAGCAGCACATCAGTGGATTCATTTGTGTGTGGGGGGTCCCCATTCCATACACTGATCTGGTGAGACTGGGCATGGACTATCATCTTCTTGGGTTTGTGACCTCTGTCTTACAAGGGCTCCAACATAACCATTTAAAAGTGCAAGTGTCATCCTGCAATTCTCTGACTGAAAAGTTTCCTTGTACCTCTCATCACAGTGAAGTTCAGGCTTCTTAGCACGGCACCCAGGACCCTCTAGAATAGGGCCCCTTGACTACTATCCAGGTTTGGCTCTTGCCATGCCATGTCACACACTTCGCTATGAACCAAACTGTACCTCCCCACCCCCAAATTCCCATGTTGAAGTCCCAACCCCCAATGTGACTGTGTTTGGACATACGACATTTATGAAAGTAATTAAGGTTAAATGAGGTCACAAGGATAGGTCTGTGATCTAACAGGATTATATCTTTGTAAGAGAAGATTAGTGTCCTTATAATCCAGAGTTCACTCACTCCTGCTCATTCATTCTGACATGAGAGGATATAGCAAGAAGGCAAATGTTTACAGGCCAGGAAACGAAGCCCTCACCAGAAACCAAATTGGCCAGCACCTAAATCTTTTGTTTCCCTGTTGTTTAAGCCACCCACTTATGGTATTTTGTTGTAACAGCCTCAGCCAACTGATACATCCTATTACTCAGTTTTGAGTTTTACCAAACACATTCAGCTACTTGATCTGGCACTGTTGGTAAGCCATCTTTCTTCTCCCCCAGCTGTCTGAATTTTTAGGACTCAGAACAGCAACTTTTTAGAGACGCCTTTCTTACCTGTCTTCCTAGAGAGTTCACCCTTCCTCCCCAAGTTCCTCCAGACCTTGCTCATGGCACCTGTAATTCCTCCACTGGGTTCGATTACATTGACATACACCTGCCCTTTCACTGCCTTGCCAAAGAGCAGGAAGACCAAATTATTTTCTATTTTAGCAATCCTTAAAACATGTAACATTATTGTTCTCACGAAATCGTGTCTGTAGATCCTGCAGAGCTGGTTTTTCCAAACACATGGACCTATTTACTGTACCTTGTGCCAACCATGGTGTGCAGTGTAACTGCTGCACACCAAGCACTTGACAAAACTACTCTAACAGCTGAGAGAATTGTCATTTAATGATGGTCTGTGCTCAAAATAAAGAAAGGACTTTCACTGAACAGACTCAAGAAATGCAGCGCTTGGTAAATAACGAGTTAGGCCTGCCTGCTCATTACTGGCATTTTCTGGTACCCGTGCACAGGTTACTGTGTAAGGAATCCTGGTGTGAGTCACAGTTCAGATATCATGTACTGAAATCGATATCTGTGACCTTGGGCACATCACTCAAGTTCAATGTTTTTTTTCCATTCTGTGAAATCAGGACAGCATTAGCATCTTTCCTAATTATGTATGCAATTATTTAAGAATGAGATGAGGGAACAGACACAAAAACTCTCTAAATTATAAAGCACTGTAGAAATGTTTGTTCTTATAATTACTACTAATGGTAACAACAAATGAGAGCATTCAAAAGTAAATACAACCCTGCTGAATGCACAATAATGGTCTCCAAAGATGTACATGTCCCAACTCTAGAACATGTGCCTATGTTACCTCACATGGCAAAAGGGCTGCAGGTGTCATTGAGGTTATAGAATTGAGATGGGGAGATGAGCCTGGAGTATATAAGTGGACCCAGTCTAATCATGGGCATCCTTTTCCTGCTGAGGTCAGAAGAGAAAGATGTGAGGACAGGGGACCAGTTAGACAGATGTGAGGTTTCCAGCTTTAAATGAAGGAAAAGGTCACAAGCCAACGAATGTAGGCTGTTCTAACATGCTAGAGAAAAAGAGAGGAACTACATTCCCCCTGAGCTTTCAGAAGAAATGTAACCCTGCCAATTTATTTTCAGATTCTGACCTGCAGAACTGCAAGATGATGTATTTATGTGATGTAAGCCATTTTTTGTAGTACAGGTTGAGTATCCCCCAAAAAGCTTGGGAGCAGAAGTGTTTCAGATTTCAGAATAATTTCATAGACCTTACTGGTTCAGCATCTTTAATAAGAAAATGTGAAATCTGGGGCTGGAGGTGTGGCTCAAGCAACATAGCATCTGCCTTACAAGTGCAAAGCTCTGAGTTTAAACCCTAGTACTTCCAAAAAAAAAGTGAAGTCTGAAATGCTCCAAAATATAAACATTTGAGTGTGATTTTGGTGCTGAGAAGTTTTGGATTTTAAAGCATTTCAGGTTGTGGATGCTGAAATTATAACTAGTTATTGCAGCAACAGAAAATTAACCCAGCCCTCAAGCTGCACTTTGATGGCATAACGGGGTGGTATAGTAGACAATGGGCTGATACCTGGAACTGTGGAATAAGCAAAGAGAAAGTCAGCTTCAACTGGGATCTTATATCGGGGATTTGCGTCCATGTCATTGATAGGCCCCGAGTCAGCCTGGATTCCATCATCCAGTTCCGTGCCTCGGCAAGCCTAGATATCAAAACAGAGATCAATCACTCCATGGAACTGAGAACAGAAGTACATGTGCTGTTCACTGCTGTGTCCCAGGGCCAGGGACTGTGCCTGGCCCTACTAGGAACTCAGTGATCATCTGAAGAAAGGATAAATGGCTGAACAGTGAATTGAGTTATCAAACAAAGCATCACAGTAGCTTGAAACTTTTCATACTTGTACTCCAATGAAAACATACAGGCCAGCCATTCAGAGACAGAAAAACCAAACCCAAATCTGCATACCCCATAGACCCAGCATGTAAATTTGGAAAGATAGTGTACTCTGGTCCCATGTTGAATTGTATTGGCTTTGAAAAGTGATTACCTGAATGAAGAAGAGTTTGGGTTTCTCTAAAAGGGTTTTACATCGATCTCCCCTAAAATGGGCTGTCAACTCCTTTATTGGTGTTACACCATCTTTTCCATAAATTCTATCTTCTTCTCCGTGGCTTAGTAAGATGCAGGCGAAGCAGGCTGAATCTCTGTGGTCCTCTTCAGAAGCTGCAGGCAAGCAATGTGAAGACTGCAAAGTTAAAACTTATGTCCTATAGGGACCTCAGAAACGACACTCCAGAGGCAGCCTGGCCGCCACCAATGACCAGGGTTAGACAGGAACCAGGAAGGGACAGAGGAGGGGTAGGGGATAAGCTGCTTTCAAAGGACCAGGCTTCATCTGAAGAGCATGATGGAGAAAAGCTAGAGAGACAATTCTGGAACTCTTGTTCAGTCAGAACCCGAGCTGGGGCAGCCTCATGAAGAGTGACTGCTAGTACCCAGGTGTTCAAGCAGCTGCTGAAAGACAGTATACCAGGGAGCAGAAGGACACCACCCTGTTGCTAGCTAGTTAAATGACACTGGGCAAGTTACTTTACCATTTGGTGTCTTGGTTTCCTTGTCTGTGAGGTGGAGGCTTAATATTTATTAATGATCAATATTTTTAAAGTTCTCCACGTAAATAAGCATCACACCAGAATTCGTTGAAGAAAGCATAATGAGAAGAGAAATAAACCAGTCACAAAAGGACAAATGCCATAGGATTAGATTTCGATGAGGTACCAAGAGGGGTCAAGCTCTCAGAGAGAACAATAATTATTGGCAGTGGGGGAGGCAGAGGAAATGGGGAGTGAGTGTTCGATGGATGTAATGTTTCATTTATGGAAGATGAAAAGAGTTCTGGACGTGCATAGTGGTAATGTTTGTACAATATGAATGTGTTTGAAGCCACTGAATAGCATACTTAAAAATGATGAAAATGGTAACATTTATGTGTAGTTTACCACAATAAAAAACAAAATTAAAAGAAGAAAGACAATAAAAATGCTGGGCTGGCTGTCAATAGAGGTTACTAGGAGAGGAGAGGAATCATAGACCACAAAGCTGGCTGGCCTAGCTCCAAGTCACCTAAGGTTCTGTGATTCTAACTAACTAACTAACTAACTAGCTAACAGACATAGCCTTTCTTTTTGTGTATGACCAACGAGGGGAGAAGAATAAGATTTAGAATGTCATGAACACCTCTGTGTGCCAACTATAGGATTACCTTATTTTATTCCTACAAGAACTCCTTGAAATAGGCCTCTTTTATCCTTATTTCCCTGATAAAAAAGTGGAACTTGGAGTGGTGTTATAACCTTAACCACAGGTGGCACAACCTTGGAGCCTGGGGACTATCAAGCCCTGCTGCTTCATGGGTTCCAGAGGGTAGGTGTGGCCTTCCCTGTTATGGTCACTGAGACACTTGTGCACAGACCTGCACGGGGATTTCTGTATTAGTTTTTATAATAGAGGAAAAGATGATGGTGATGAATGTTGGGATTCTTAGCTTATGTCAAGATCAGATGAATTTGGGCAGAGATGAAAAAGTAGAGTTTTGTCCTCACTACAACCTATTACATACACACAATCAAGAAAAATAACTGCTTTACTGATTAGAAAGGGCAAGAATCAAGAATTTTCTGCTGGTACATGCTCTGGACTTAGGCAGAGTAATTCACCTTTTATAAGATCAGAAGTGGCAACTGGCACATCCCTTATGCCTATAGAGTCCCATATACTTCCCTAAGCAAGCTCACAAATTTTTTCCTCCAATCCCTAGAAACAGGTTGTGCTTGGAACCATGTCAAGAAAGCAAAGAAATCAGAAAGTTATGATGCCTCATCTGGGTCTCCCCACTGTTTTAGTTGCAGCCAGACCCACAACTCACTCTCAATTTCTGGTCTGTTTTACCATGTGACCTACTAGGGTACAAAAGTTCAGCTTGTAAGAATCAAGTTTGAAGAAATTAGGAAAAGATGCCTATTTTAAAATAAATAACAGAGAGTGGAGTGTTTCTCTTTTAGCTGTGTAGCTACAAAAAGCTACAGTGAACTATCTACTTTGTAAGTACCTGTCTAATGAATTGGTTGATTCTACTTCTAGACACTACTCCCACATGCCACATAACCCCAGCCAGGTGACATCTACTAGGTGGTGTGGTGTGTAGGACAAACATCCATCCTGGAGTCAGAACAAAGAGCTTGGGGTCTGGCTCCACCCCTAATTTACCTCTCAGCATGTCTCTTATCAACTCTAAAGCCCCAGCTATACATCTGTAAAGTGGGCATGATGACTGATTACCAGCCAACATTGCAGGGATTACATTAAAGATCGAATGAAATAAAATCATGGATGTGCCCCATAGAAAACAAAGTAGTTCCCAAATCTATGGGAATATTACTGTCTGTCTACCAGGAAGAAGTTTCCACCTAAACTCCACTCTGGGCAGGAAGATATAGATTTGTTTACTCCCTAGGGACTACCTTTTGGAAATTGTGACCATTCTGTACATATGGAACCAATTTCTCTTGCTGAAATTTAAGCTGATTCTATCTTTGCATGGAGATCCTGAAGTTCTTTGAAAGAGAACTTTCTCTCCCAGGACAGGTATGGATCAACCAGAAGAAGGTTCCCTGTGCTACTGTCTCTGTCCCAGAAATGTGTCTTCATGAGACCAGGGCCAGGCCCTGCTCCTCTCCCTGCAGGGGAAGACAAGACCAGGGCCAGGCCCTGCTCCTCTCCCTGCAGGGGAAGACAATAGGGAGGGGCCAGGGCTCACCTTTTTTCAGTAGATCTTGCATCTTGTCACAAGTGCAGTCATTATGGACAACCACATCAAAACCCAGCCTTCGGAAGCACTTGAAAAGGGCCTCAGCATCTTTGTCTGTTCCATTTCTGACCTCCATGCCTGTAGGAATCAAGCAACCAGGTCTCTGATGAGCAATGCTGCCTGCAATTTCTCATTGGCCAGGAGCTGAGTACAGCTAGCACCAGCTCCGTCCTAAATGATCTAAGTATATATAATACCTTTCAAGGCCACAATTTAAATGAGCAAATGAAATGAAAAGCAAACTCAAAGAGGGGGTGACTCAGCCCATCCACAAAAGGCGAGCCTCCTCATGGTCACCTCCAGCCTCACTTAGAGTCATGTAGCCTTTGATTCTTAGCCCCTTGGTCAAAGTCCCTAATGTTCACAGTGGCTCCTGTTTCTCTGTGTGCCTTCTCCCTGGACACAGGAAGACCACCTTGGGAGGGGTTGTCTGCCACAGGATGTGGGAACAGCATTTCTCCAGTGAAGGACACAAACTGGAGAAAATGGAGGGGAGAGGAGCTCAGGCCCATAGCACCCACCTGTCGTTTTGTCAAAGTTCTTATTGTTTATGATGATGCATTTTCCCAGGTTGGCGAAGTTCATGTTGTATTGATATAAAGACACTTGGTCCTGGTTGGGCTTGACTAATTGTGCAGAGTCACTTTTCTTCTTCTTACTGGGAAGACAGAAAGGCAGTTAGGAGCTGTGGAAGAAGTCTGGTCAATAGGGCCTCTTGTGCCCAGGAAAGCCATAGTACCTGTGAAGAAAAGATCTGGGCTGGACAGGTGACTCTGTTTAACTCTCATATTTGAACAGGTCAGAGTTCCCTGGTAAATTTTGCTGGATGTTAGAGAAATATAAATTATAATCACGATGGGATGCCAGTGTGCACTCCCCAGAATGGCTGCACTCCCTAGAATGGCTGCAGTGTGAAAGAAATGGAGTATTCAGCACCTGGAATGATCACACAGGGCTGTGGGAACCTGGCAGAACCCACTCAAACTGAACTCACACAAACCCTATGATGAAACAATTACCCTGGGTAATGCCAACAAGTTTACCAAAATCCATAGGCACATGTGTTACAGCTGTACCATGCAGCCACAGCTACATCCCAAACAGGAAATAATTCATATGCCCTGCAGGGAATGACTAAACTGTCAACAATTCCAACTACTCAAACATTCATAGAATGAACGAGCAAACCATGACCAGGTCAAGCAATTCGTTTCACAAATATAACACAGTAAAGAACCAATACACAGAAGGGTACATGCACAGTTTAAAATACTATCCTGGTACTAGAAGTCTGGAGATGGTTTTCCCCATGGTAGGAGGGCTAGGGACCAGAAGGGACAGAAAGATTTTCTCAAGCACAGGTCGTACTTTGTTTCTTGCTATGGGTGATGGTTATAGGCATTTGTTGGCAGAAATCTATGTGTGTACAGTTTTCTATGTGGACTTGTGTTTGGCAGAGCTCTGTGTCTACCTGCCCGTGTGACCTGGACCAGTGAGCCACTACTCTTTGCAGAGGACGAGCTTCCTCTCCAGTAGGATGGAACCAGTCGTATGACGTAGGTGCAGCCTTTGTGACAGTCACAGCTTGGTAGGGGGAGGTGATGGCAGTGGGTTCTCACTGTGGAGTGTCCCTCTTTAGAGGACATGGTGGTTTCTGTATGTATAAGGACATGACACATGGACAGGAGCAGGATACATAGTACCATCAATGGTCCTAATTGACAGAGTCCCTTGTGCACATTAAAAAAAAAGGAGAGAGATATGAATATAAAAGGGCACAGCGAAAAGAGAGTGATGGGGGGTGAGTATGATGGAAGGACATTGTATGCATGTGTGCAAATGTCAAAATGAAACCCATTTAAACAACTGTAAAAAACGGGGGACAAGAAAGACTAACCCAGGGAATATGATCAAAGTAACTTATGTGCATGTATGCACATCACAGTGAAACCCTCACTTTGTATAATTAATATACATCAATAAAAATATGGTATGCATGGTGTTTCATATACACACAAACTCTTCTGCCTTCAACAGATGCCTTGAGGGTGGGTAGGGGGCTGCAATGCCCATTTTACAGGCAGTAAGAAGAACACTCAACATCTACCAGAGTCTACCATGGTTCAGTCCTTTTAAGACTTTCACCTGTATTTTTCTCACCAAATCCTGCCAGCAACCCAAAGAAAGAATGGCTGCCACTATAACCCCATTTAAGGATGAGCGACAGAGGATTGGGGATATGGTAGGCCTGAATCCAGGCGGGGGGACCTCAGAAACTGTCACTCACTAGGTGACCCTCAGATGGAAATAACAGGTGATAGGCTTCTGGGTGAAGCCAACTGCAACAGGCCACCTGCCTCCAGAGGTCACTATTGTTCTGGGCACCAGCACTGAAAGGGGTGCAGTATCCAGGTAAGCCTGGGGGGTGGGAGGGAGTCTACTTAGTTCACATTCCTGGATGTGTTGACCTCCCAGGGGGGTCAGCAGCTGGCTCCAGACAAATGGAAGTGCACTGGGGAGTCAAACTTCCCTCATAGAGCTTCGATTTTTCTCATTGACAAAAACAGGCCCCCTTATCACTGACAGGATCAAATGCCATAGGTGTGTGAAAGTGCTTTGAAATTCACAAAGTTCAGAATAAATACAGCATACTTATGTAGTTGTTCCTTATTGACACCTGCCACCTATGGGCCAGGAGCTGTATGGAATCACAGCCTGTTCCCAAGCCCCACTGCATTTGTGCTGACAAAGTTCAAATTCAGAGCTAGGATGTCATTCCCTGTGTACCAGCCTCCCAGTGTGTGCTTTCTCTACTTAGCTGTTCTTTGAACAAACACGGTGTTTGATATTAAAATTCAGGACAGGACTTACTCATTGCCCAGGTTCCTTTTTGGGGAAGTTGGGGCATAATCTGTGACCTTTCTTAAACCAGGCCCCATGACCCAGTTAACCCCTCAACAAAGGGAGCTTCCAGATGGGCCTCACCCAGAGTTCTCTGCAACCCTTCAGAAAATACCAGAATGGGATAAAAGGAGAGAAAGTTGAATAGGTGAAGAAGAGTTTTTAACACATAAACTGTACTTTCAAGCATTCTGTAGCTGAGGTCATTTGGAATGCTAAGAGTGGTAGTGTGCCTGCCTCGCCTGGCAGGTGGGACGTCCCACTCTATGCTCCACAGCCCATGAAGAAAGAACATTCTACTTATGTTCTGCAACCAGAACATCTAGGACAAAGCCCAAGTAACAACCACACTGTGGTTTTTGAAAGCCACCTTAAGCTCATACTCAGCTATTAGCAAAACAAAGCCAGCCCGCATCTTTTATAAGAAGATCAGGCTTGAGACAAATAATAGGAGTGACAGCATTCTGCTTCTGCCAGAATTTGGAAAATTAACTTATCGCTTTTTAAATTAATTATATTTAATTTAGATTAGAAAAGGAACATCATTGGGGAATAAAGATATACCTACTTTAAAGAAAACACTGTCCATGGTTATGAAAAGTATGTAAAAATTGAATGTGAAGTATGACTCTTTTCCCTGGTAAATATCCCAGAAGGGCAGGAAGGATAATTTCCCTTCCTTAGCTTAAGTTATTTTTTGCAAAGTGAACTTAGTATCTGCTTCCTCCTTCTGGATTTGAGTCCATCAATATTAACTGTTCCTTGTTAAACCCCAGTCTTCCCACACCACAATCAATTCAATTCCATTGAAATGAACCTTCCTGAGAAGAGCTGGTTTTGGAACCAAACCAGCCGATGCCAGGGGAAATGATTGTGGAGAAGGCAGCAAGAACAAGCCAGAAACAAAAGGAGGGGAGGGGGACTGAAGTCCACTGCACAGACAGTGTGCACCAATGAGTGTTCTAGAGGTTAGCCTGCCACCCATTAGCTCTAAGGTTTAAGGTTCCTTCTCTCTTGGGGATTATCTCTCTCTCACCCCATTCTCTCTTTAAGACAATGGTTGCCATGTTGGTAAAAAGTGACTGCCCAGCCCATCCCCATTTGAGCCAACTGCCATCAATGACTGGGCCAGGGGCACCTGGTCCCCAGCCTGGCCCAGTCAGCCCTCTTCCTGGGAATTTGAAAACTTGAATTGAGGACAAGGGTTAGTCTCGTTCAAGAGGCTAAATGAGAACTATTGTTGGCTATTTTTCAACACATGCATGATAAGTCAAGACAACAGGTTAGCCAAGAGTGGGCAGAACAATGGACGAGAGAAGTAAATGTGTGGGGGAAAAGAGCAGGTTGGAGTCCCCAGTCCCCACAGCCCAGGTGGTCCTTTACAGACATAAATCAGAACCCAGCACACTATTTGAAACTCCGTTTCAGGGTTCCCAAAGGTCCTATATGGTATCCCTTTTGGCCTCTGACCTAGTTCTCCAGTGCAGCATTACCCTTCACAGGCTCAGCCTTGTGGTGACAGCTTGTGAAACCTCACAGAACAAAGCAAGACTTAGGAGTCCTGCTGGGCTGGCAGCTGCTCACAGGTCTCTGCACACAACAGTCCTGGTTCATTAGGCCTCTTACCACCACCATCTTAGGCAGGACCTGGGAGGCCCAGCCACTTCACCTCCTTATCTGACATCTCCTGTCACCTCCTTGCTGGCCTCCACATTCTTGGCTTGACTTTACAGCCTCCTCTTCCAAGTGAGCTTTTAAATAAGTGAGGAAAAAAATAAAAAGGCAAATCTAATCACACTAGTTTCCTGTTAGAATGGCTGGGTGGGTTCCTGTGGCTGAGAAGGGCCTGAGTCCTGCCACAGCCCCCAGCCCCACACGAGCGGCTGTACCTCATCCCTCCCTCAGTCATCCTGCTCCAGAAAACCAGGAATGTGTCCAGTGTGTGCCTGGACTTGTTCCTGGCACTCTTCCCTCTGTGGGGGTTTCTCAGGGTTCCATGAATCACACATGCCCTTCCTTCAGTACCCTAGGACCTCTGCTCACCCTCTACCCCTGCCCCCACCCCCACCCCTGTCCTGTCTCCGCTTTAGTGTGCAAATCACACCGCATGAGCTGACTTCAAGTAACACAGCTATTGTCCTGCTATTACCCCCTGCAAGAGGGCAAACTGGGGTTTGAACTTAGGGCCTACACCTTCCGTCACTCCACCAGCCCTTTTTTTATGTGTTTTCAAGATAGGGTCTCTTAAACTATTTGCCTAAACTGGCTTCCAACTGGGATCCTCCTGATCTCTGCTTCCTGAGGAGCTAGAATTACAGGTGTGAGCCACTGGCTCCCCACTTATTATTTTTAGACGAGGTCTTGCTATGTTGCCTACCTGGCCTCCAGAGACCCTCCTGCTTTAGCCTCCTGAGTACCTGGGGACTACAGGTGTGTGGCACTACTCCAGGTTGAGGGTAAACTCTGATGGCAGAACTTGGATTTTTACAAAAGTGCTGGCAACAAACACAGGCACTCGAATACTTCCTAAATGAATAAATAGCACTTCAAGCTGACGATATACAAGCCCTGGGTGACCTCCCATCTAACTTCGCTGCATATCCTACAGAGCTGAAGACCAGCAGAGTGCTTCAGAGGTGGCAAGGAGTGGCCCTGTGACCAGGACTACTTCAGGGTGGCCCTAGCTGAGCATTCTGCGGGGCACAGAGCAGTTGTTTTGCTAGGATCTTTCTGTGTGTGATCTCCTGCTACTGGGGA